GAGAGAGAGAGAGAGAGAGAGAGAGAGAGAGAGGAAGAGAAGAAGAGGAGGTAAGAGGCTGGCCAGGGACACGTGGGAAGAGAGAAGAGTTGGAGAGAATAGGTAGAGAGAGGAAAGATGAAGAGAGAGAGGGGGGTTAGAGAGGGAGAGGGAGAGGGAGAGGGAGAGGGAGAGGGAGAGGGAGAGGGAGAGGGAGAGGGAGAGGGAAAGCAGTCCTTTTATATCTAGTTTGTCTGTTGTACCCGTCTGTTGCTAGGTAACTGTGGGGTGGAGCCTCAAGGAAATGCTAACAGTCCTGCATTTTGGTTTAATTAAAAAATGAGAAACTAGAAAGAGGTGACAGTGAGGCAAGAATGGGGTCGTTGTGATCTTTAGCAACTTTCTGCTGACTTTGGGGTGACGAGTTTGTCTGTGGAACCTATGAAAACTGGGATCAAGGTCAAGACCTGAGAGAGCAGGCTGTTCCATTGCTGTTTAGAGTCTGTGGAACCGTCTGCGGGTAGGAGAGTATAGGCCCAATAGAAGTGTCTGTGAGAGCAGACCAGATCATCTGTGGGCTGTTTCTCTGGAACTGTCCTGGATGTATATTTTGAGTAAACACCTGGACTTGGCAAGATGCTGAATCACATATACATATTAGAGGCAGAAAATAAAGTTAAGTACTGTCTTAATTAGAGTTTTACTGCTGTGAACAGATAGCATGACCAAGGCAACATTTGACTGGGGCTGGCTTACAGGTTCAGAGGTTCAGTCCATTATCAACAAGGCAAGAAAATGGCAGCATCCAGGAGTTAAGAGTTCTACCTCTTCATCTGAAGGCTGCTAGCAAAATACTAGCTTCCAGGCAGCTAGAATGAGGGTCTTAAAACCCACACCCACAGTGACACACCTACTCCAACTAGGCTACACCTATAACAACAGGGCCAGACCTTCTAATAGTGCCACTCCCTGAGCCAAGCATATACAAACCATCACAAGTATATTTAGGAAGACAAAACTTTTCTTGAGTGTGCATTTGAAACCCTTAGGTCTTGGTGGTTGTAGGGAGGGAACAGGGGAGAAATCCCACCCTCTGGAATATGCAAAAGTTGGGGTGGCTTAGGGTATTGATTGACGGGGTACTTACCCAGATGGACTCTATTTGGTCCATGAGATGTGGATGCAAGTGGATTTCCTGAGGCTTAGAGGAATCTTCGTAAGTTTACAGAAGAGATAAAATTGTTTTTGTTTGTTTTAGATTATATATATACCATTCTGCCTGCATGTACAACTGCATGCCAAAAGAGGGCACCATATCTCATTATGGATGGCTGTAAGCCACCATGTGGTTGCTGAGAATTGAGCTCAGGACTTCTGAGCCCAAGATAAAATTGTTAACAGCATGAACAGTCTTTTTTTTTTTTTTTTTGGTTTTTTCAAGACAGGGTTTCTCTGTGTAGTTCTGGCTGTCCTGGAACTCACTCTGTAGACCAGGCTGGCCTCAAACTCAGAAATCCACCTGCCTCTGCCTCCCAAGTGCTGGGATTAAAGGTGTGCACCACCACCGGCATATGAACAGTCTTTAAGTTGAGCTCAGGGAAGACAAAAACCTTTTGTGGAGTAGAAGGGGCAAGAGGGACTTTCCTCCTCTATCCAGAAGACTGAAGGTACATAAATTTAGCAGAATGAGAAACATTTTATGTTTATATTTAAAAGACAATCAAAAAAAAACCTTCAAAGTTTGACCGTGTGAATATAATAGTTGATCATATAGATTTAGCACGAGAAACGCCTTATGCATACAGTTAAAAGACACCCAACGGAAACTTGCAATCTTGAACTTGTGATTCTGAAAGGTGGTAGAGTGGAATGTTTTATTTGAGCCAAGCTAATTTATCAGAACTCCATTGATTGATGTCAGAACTCTTGAAGTCTTAATATAACAATGGTATATCCAGGAAAGAAATATGAAGCTGTTAGGACTTGAGAATCGCTGAAGAAAGACCCCAGATTCAGAGAGTATGCAAGAACAAAGAGCGTTTATTCTGCAGAAACAACCAGCACGCCAGTCACCACTGCTTCAGCATGGCATTGACAGATAAAGACATTCGAGTCCCTTTTATAACAGAACTTGCTTATAAAATCTAATTGTTTCTGAGATAACAGACATCTAAAACCTAAAGCACATTCCAAGGGGTTGTAAAAAACATTAACTGAAGGTCATAAAGAAGGAGCTAGGGACATACACCACAGGTGTAAGGACAGAAGAGAAAATATTGCCTGGGTTTATTTATACAAAACTTTTTTTTTTTTTTTGGTTTTTTGAGACAGGGTTTCTCTGTGTAGCCCTGGCTGTCCTGGAACTCACTCTGTAGACCAGGCTGGCCTTGAACTCAGAAATCCGCCTGTCTCTGCCTTTATACAAAACTTCAAGGACAAATTAGTTATGGTTTTTAACTCTCCATGAACCTGTAAGCTAGTAACAAATGATGAATGTTTAGCCAGATAATTACTCCTAGTGGGTATGCACATAGACATTCTCTGTTATAAACCTCTTATTCAATTTAAGACCTGAATTTATGTGCAAACTTGTAGTGAACTTTTTACCATGTGATCATGAGCTCTGAAAGTTGTACAAGTGCTGAGAACAAAGAGCAGAGACAGGCCTCCCTCCCTTTCTCTTTCTGAGACTTCAACTTAGAGCCTCCCAATTCCTGCAGAGATAGAACAAAGGCTACCTTACCTAGCCTCCTGCTGTTTTACTATGAGGTGCTAAACCAGAGACTGTAGTTTCTAGCCTCAGAGCAACTAAGACAGGCAGATCAGTCATGCAAGCAATGTACCCTACACTTATGATGGGTAAGATAGTTTATTATTATATTGTTAGAGTTAGGTAATCTAAGACCTCATCAACGGGTGTTGGGATGCCCTATGTAGGCTGCATTCCTGTGTCCTGAATGACTAACCACAGAATGGGCTGCCCAGCACAGACAGCCTATCCTGAGATAAGGTATGTCCCATTCACGTGACTATCCTTAAGCTATTCCTTTAGTGGGGAATTTTATTGTTTTGTTCCTGGACTTTGGGGTTTGCTGCTGGAACAAGTAGTTTATGGCCTATTTTCTGAGTGGAGACAAATGGGATTAAAGTGGTCCCTTCAAAGCATTTTTGTATCTTGAATTATTATTTTTTTAATCAATATCCTATATTTTATGTCCTCCAATGTCAGGGGCAGCCTTGCTTATACACTGAAGGCCTAAAATCAGCAATAGGCCTAAGTCAGCCTGCTAACACAAAGTCTTGGTCTCTGTGGAAAAACACTGAAACAGATAGCTATAAGATATTGTAAACAGGCAGCTTTGGTGGAAATTTACCAGCCTGGATAAGAACTAATAGTCATAGACCTTGTAGATAGGTAGCCTTGGTGGATAGTACCAGCTTAGATAAGAAACAAGTGGATCATAGGCAGAATCATAGTGGCCCGTTCCCTGAACCTTCGCCCAGCCGATACCCTGTTCTAGAAGATATCTGTAGCGCCCCCCCCCCGGCGGGGAACACCTACACTCCTGCATCATCCCCTTCCCCACATCCTGCTTTTATGTGTTTATAACCCCCGTGTGAAAAAATAAAAATTATGGTTTGATCAGACTATAGACAAGCCGTGGTCCTTTCCCAGTTCACCTGTTCCCCAGTTCTCCAGTTCTCTCTTCCAGGTCCCCCGGATCCTAGTTCACTGCCCTGTGGGTCGGGACACTCCAACCTTTATATCTTGCAATTACCAACCTCAAAATACCTTTCTAGACCCTCAAATATACCAAATATTTTCTGAGATACTCATAACTTAAGCTTTTATATTCTCAGACCTTGCATAAACTTTCCATCTTTTTCTATCTAATTATTTATCATGAGATGTAGGTGATTGATCATTGGGGAACAAGAAGAACAAAGGGAAGGTACCTGGCTGTTGTTACGTAACCCTTAGGTGGAGCCTCAAGGAAATGCTAACATCTGGGGAGCTGGGGAAGCCATTTTCCTGTGGGGCACAGCTGTAACACATTCACTGGGGAAACCTTCTTCTGTAGCAGCTGGAGCAGAGTAGTAACACTTCTGTAGCTGAAGTTCTTCCCTTCAGAGCTGCAACACTTAACACCTATAGGCTCCAAGAATGAGCTGAGAAACAGAGAGAGAAGCCCAGGAGGGCATAGAGAAGCTGTAGAACTTTTAGGGAGCTGAGAGGTAACAGGGTCACAAAGTATAGGAACTCCACTGGAGCGGGAAGCAGGCTAGGAGGGCTCAAGTAAGAGACAGAGCAAGCAGCTCTGAGCGGGTAGCACGCCGAAGATGAAGACGGCTTAAGGAAACTGCAGGGCTTAGCAGGAATTTCCAAGCCCGCTTAATCAGTCAACAGGTTCTCCAGTGCACGAGTGAGGATTAAAAGAAAAGAGACAGTTAGACAAAATTGCAGCATGACTTCAGCCAGTTCTGAGGCTGAAGGCTGAGGCAGGTTTGTTTAATCCCACATTTCTTTTAAACCCTTTTACTTTTTATTTTTTCTTGTTTTGTTTTGTTTTGTTTGAGACAGGGTTTCTCTGTGTAGCCCTGGCTGTCCTGGAACTCACTCTGTAGACCAGGCTGGCCTCGAACTCAGAAATCCTCCTGCCTCTGCCTCCCAAGTGCTGGGATTAAAGGTGTGCGCCACCACTGCCCGGCATGATCGCTGTTTCTAAGGGCTCATCAGGATGACAAAAATATCTGAGCCTACTTCCCTGTCCTAGCCCACAGTCATATTCATGCTTGAGGTCTACTTCTTTGTTCTAGCCTAAGACTAGGAATCCTGACTGAAATCACTTCTCTGTTTTAGCCTAAAATTAAATTCCTGCCTGAACTTACTTCCTTATCATGGCCTAATGTCAGATTCCTGCCTAAAGTCCATTTTCTTGTCCTTGGCCAATGTCAGATTTCTGCCAAGCAGCTCCAAAGGCTCTCCACACAGGAAGCTCATAGGGTCAGGTTAGGAAGCCCCAGGAAGAAGCCAAGAGCAGGTAGCTCCGAGGGAAAGGAGGCATGGGAAGGTCCAAAAGGGCCTAAGGAAGCTGCAGGAGAACTGCTCCTAGAGAGATGTGAGGAGAGGAAGCCCTAGGACGGAGATATGGACAGAGGCCTCAGGGGGATAAAGGTCAGTGGTAACAAGAATCCAAAGCATCCTCAAAGGGAGTGAGAGGCTTGCCAGAGAGAAATGTCCCAAATCACAGAGGAGAGGCATCTCTTTCCACAGGTCACAGGGCCGAGCGGGGCAAGCGGAGCTTTCTGGAACGCTAGTATGGATTTTGTAGTTGTAGTAGACAGAGCAGGCAACTCTGGGGTGGCACTTGTCCTGGAGAGGAGGAGAGAGCAGCTGAAGATGAACCTGGAAAAGGGGTGACTTCAACAGAGGGAGGCAAGTGTCTTCAGTAGAGGGATGTGCTACAGGGGTCCCTGGAGGGCTTACCGGGGTGCAGGAGCCAGAGAGACACTTGTGAAGCTGATAAGGAGGGACACATGGTTAGAAAGCAGTGGCAGAGACACACTCTAGACTTTGGAGTCAAATTGGTGGGTGGTGGAAGCCAGCAGAAATAAATGACCCATACATACCTTAGAAGAGCCAGATTCACAACTTGGATCGGAGTGGTCGAGTCCCTCAGAAGGGGACTCATTTATGTCAACCCCGGGTTATGGCACCAGATAAATGAAAAAAGAAAAACTGTTTGCACTGTGAGGTACAGAACAGCCAGAGGAATGGAAGGGTCCAGATTGAACGGAGCCATGAGTGGAGACTGAGTGTGGGAGAGAATGGAAGAGTGGAGATTGTTTTGTGACCAAGAAAGTAAATACATAGTTAGTATAACAGAAGTTTTGTTTTATTATGCTAAGGGTCATCACACAAGGTTCACACCCTATGTTCCTAACCACTGTCCTAAGTCTATCTCCCCAAAGCTGTTCACCTGTACGATGTATCTTAGCTGAATGTAAAAACGTTGGGGGTCCAGTCTCTAACAGAACTCTCTGATTCGATCCTCAGGATCCTTGGGGGAGAATCTCTATCCGCAGGGCCAATCAAGATGGTGTCTCTCCAGATGTGCAGAGCAGAGCATTGCTCTAGGTCTCTGCTTTTATTACTGTCCAGTGGGCGTCATGGGGTTCTAGGACGGTGTCTGGTTATCATGAGTGAGTGATGTCACTGAGTTCTGGTTATCAGGTGCAGCCTTGGATGGAGCGGAGATCCTAAGCTAATTTTTTTTTTACATGTCTAAAAGGCATTTTTTTTTTTTTACTATGCTCATACAGAGAACAAAGTGAAGAGCCAAAGATGGAGATACCAAAAGTGTGGGAACCAAGAGACCTCATAGCCAAAATGTATGCGTTTATATTGAAAAGAAAAGCTGGGGGAAGGAGCGGTTCAGGGTAGAGGATGCACACTAGGAGAGTTAGCCAGCATTTACTTGGTTATGTTAACAGGCACCTTAGCCATTTGTCCTGGGTTTTTTTTGAGACCTAACAAAGACAACTATTAAATTTAAAAAATCAGTTTTTAAAAAATTACATTCGTAAGATAGGTGTGGTAGTTCATGCCTTTAATCTCAGCATTTGCGAAGCAGAGGCAGGTGGTTCTCTGTAAGTTCCAGGCCAGCCAGAGTTATATATATATATATATTATGTTCTGGGAATCCAACTAGTGTCATCATGACTGGCGACAAAGCGCCTTCAACTGCTGAGCCATTCTGCCCGCATGTTAAGAACATTTTTGAACTGGACAACAGTGACATCGCTAGTCTTCCAGACTTGGCAGTGTCAAACCCAGCTTCAAGCTTGGCTTACAGGAGGACTTTCCCATTGGTTACAACCCTGAAAGCACTGGGATGTACTGCGCAGCCTCACTCGAGTTCAGGACCTCGCCCCCAGGCGCTGAGTCTCTGACAGCGGCTGCGCGCGCCGCTGAGATTTCTGGGAATTGTAGTTCTATGAGCTGATACCCCTACTTCCGGGTTTAGCCGGCAGTGAAGCCATTTGTGTGTGTGTGTATGTGTGTATGTGTGCGTGTGTGTATGTGTATGTGTGCGTGTGTGTGTGCGTGTATGTGTGTGAAGGCGTCTTCTGTGGCCCGGCTTTGTGGCCGGGCTCAGTCTACAGGGAGCGACCTGGCGGATGCTGACTCGAGGTGGAGGCCAGATCCCCGCCACTCGAGTCATGTCGGATGTGCTTCAGGATCGGGGCAGGAAGCGGTGAGCCCAATTTCGTTCTGACGCTGAGTCGTGAGCGGCTCAGACCCGCCCCGGCCCACACCACGGGCTCACGGACGTCCAGGTTGGTGATAGCTGAGGGATGCTCACAGTGCTCGGAATGCGCATGCGCAGGGTCTAGGCGGGAATCATGGACGCGTTGGTGTCAGTGACTCGGGATTCTGGTCCCTCAATCAGGGACTCTGGGTCGCGGAGGGCGGTGAAGAGTCCACAGTTGTGCGCATGCGCGGATGATTGGGCGTGTGATGGGACTAGTTTGGGACCGAGGATGTCCAGAAGGATGGACGACAGGGCCTTGGCGTAGTTATTGGGGAGATAATCGAAAGGCCTAAGGTGCCTTGCGTTTTGGACAAAAGAGTTTTAGAAGGGGTGTTATCGCCACGGAGAGACAACGTGGTGGGGCTTCTAAGGTGAGGCGTCTGCAGGTCTACTTGACACAGCAGGGTGTCCCTTACTGGTTTGAAGGAAGGAGGGAGCTTTGTAGTTGACGCGTTGTCCCTGCTTGTCGTTAGGCTGGCTGCCTCTTGACTCCTGTCTCAGTAGGCAGGGAGTGTCTTGCATTTCCAAAGGGGATGTGTCACTTTGATGTGGGGAGAATGGGCCCACTTAGCCTGTGGAGTCCGTTGCAGGGTGTGTCACCTGAGTCCTGTGGGTGCGTATACAGAATCAGCTCTGAAGGTAGGGAGAGGCCCTGGGTAGGAGCAGAGGTGGGTGCGACCTGAGCAGTTTCCCGTCTGTGGTCTGTGTACGTACTAAAGTATGGAGAAATCCCCTCCAATGCCTGTTTAGTGGAGAGTCTTCCAGTGCCCAGATTCTTTTTTCCCAAGAGGAACCATGTCATCATTTCTGTACTAAATCTGAGCCCGCACTATACTCTTGAGCAAGTGTTTGTGTTGGAATCACCAGCCAAGATTCTGAAGAGTTGGTTCTAGTACCCGGGACAGACACTGTTCTTGCAAACCTGGGGGTATCCTGTTTGTTGGAGATGTATGTGGCTTCTGTTCCCAGATCAGGCATGACAGCCAGGTAGGGAAGTGGCCCCAGGTTAGCCCAGTGAGCCGGTGGGTTTACTGTTGTTCCCTACAGAAGTATGAGTGAAGGGTTTCTTACAGGAGCATGCATGACTCAGCTACGTCAGTGAAAAGCCCACAGGAGTGATGACTCAGGGAAGCTGCGTCTCTGGAGGTGCCTGCAAGACTCAAAGGCAGCTCATCTGGGCAGGGTACCTCCTCCCCAGCCTTTGCTATATTGCTTATATAACTTTAAGGAAGGGTGTTTGTGTTTATGTGGGTGTATGTGTGTGTCTGCCTTAAAGTTTCAGCTCCTGAGATTTTTAAGTTTTATTTACTTCCTGAGTCTTAGGAGCCTCCCTTCTTCCTCTAGAAGGGAGCTTTTCGACTTGGAGGAAGCGGGTACACACAAGAAATCAGCCTGGAGTTCCCGGCCCGTGTCCCGGGAGAGGCAGTATTGTTTCAGTTAATCAGTCTTTCAGACATTCAAGTACCAGACTGAGGGTGCAAGGGCCTAGAAGAGGATTCTAGCAGAAGGCCCCTGTGCATGCCAGTGTGTTAGATTAGAGGATCTGGAACTGGCACCTGAAACCTGAACACCTTAGGGTTCTAAAGTATTCAAGTTGGGTAGAGACTCCAGCTTGGAGGTAAGGAATCTAGACCTCCGAGGACTCCCCGCCTTAGCTGCCTTCTGATACACAGCTGGCCGGGAGGAGGCAGATGCTGTAAGCATCTGTACAGGTTAGGTATTGCTTGGACCTTTGTTTTGGCCTATTCTGCCTTGAAGCAAGAGAATGCCTAGGTTTATAGGAGAGCAGGGTGGAAGACAGGGAAGGGCCCCGGTCCCTTGGGAGCAGCTCTAGCCTAGGTTTGAGAACACCTTGGGACCCAAGTGTTGAGGGCCTAGGACTGAGTCTGGAGCTACACACTCAGACTTAGGTGATGTATTTTAACTGCAGCTCTGCAGACATGCAGAATTGGTGACCTCAGGACATTGCGGTAGCTGTGACCTGGAGGCACAAGACGATACAGATTCCTCTAAGAATCCGCCTGGAGCTGGGGTGTAACTCAGCTGGTTAAGTGCTTGCCTGGCATGAATGAAGCCCCAGGTTCCATTCTATGGCACTTCCTAAATCTGGTCTGGTGGCATATGAGAGGTAGAGGCAGGAGGATGGTGCGTGTGAGGCCAGCGTAGACTACATGAGACCCTGACTCAGAAACTAAGGAATCAAAACCAAAACAAAAAAGAACCCCAGATTGGCAGAGCACCCAGGTGCTGAATGCAAATCCTTCATGGGAACCTGCTCGGATGAAAGATGTTTCACCGTGCCCTGCTAGAAATGTACTTTTGACACATGGTGCTGGGGTCTTTGTGGATTTTGCTGTAATCACAACCAGTTGATGCCCAAGTGTGGGGAAAGACAGAATCTCCCTGGCATTTGGGTGCCCAGGAAGGTGTTACAGCAGGAATTTAGGCAGGTTGAGACTCACGATGGGGCCTGGTGGGGGGAGGGAAGTAGGTGGAACTGTACATTAGTGCTGGAGTGAGAACCAGGGGGCAGGACAGTGAGAGAGAAAGATGGGGGCCGAGGATGT